CATATATATTAAATTGTTAATCGGTGAGCTTCTTTGGCTACAAATGTGATTGGATTGACGAAAATACTGTTTTACTCTAATATTGTGTTATATTGTAATGGAAAGTGACTTCAAATTTTAATGAAGTCATTTTTCAATCTTGACGCTCTGTATGAAATAAAACAGGGAGAAAAAAGCAGCCCTTGCCGAGTTTCTTGCCGGTTCTTCTCGGTACAAGGTCTCCCGCCGTAGATTTACGAACCGATGGCGTAGCTCTCGACTTTCACAAGTGCTTGTAACAGCCTAGACTGAATAAATGATTTTGATTTTGATTTTCTTGGAATATCTACCATATAAGGATGGTGGTCTTCTTTGAGGTCCAGGACTTGATTCTCAGTCAGTAATAGTATTTTACTTTTGCTTATTTTAAAATCGAGGCGCCAAGTTTGTAAATTTATCTGAAAATACGCTATGATTACCATCTAATTTGCGGTAACAATTTTGATTTACTTACTGCATTTTAATTAGTTAATGTAATAACAAAACTGTTGAATATGCAGTAACAACTCACTTTATTGCATTTTAAATTGTTTAACAAAAGATTTAACAAAAAACTAGAAGCAAGTAATAGGGATTGAAAAATTATAATGACTATAATTAATTAATTTGTTATGTTATCAACCTAAAATTTGTGGTTTATTTTATTATTCTAACTTCTTACACTTTGCATTCAAAATATGATCATAGAGCGTGATTAGTTAAAGATGCACAAAATTTAATAGCGCGTTTTATTTCTGTTTCTTGTTTTTCTTGCCATTTCTTCTTAAAAAACTTCTCCCTCAGGAGATTTGCGAATCGATGGCATAGATTTTGACTTTCACAAGTGCGTGTAAAAGGATAGACTGAGTAGATTATATCCAATTGAATTTGTTTATTTTATCGTACAAGAAGAGTTCCGCATGCTTTCCAACCATATACGACAGCCCTTTTTTGACCAAGGAAAACTGCCGCTTGATAAGCCGGCAGGGGGTTTATGGGTCAGTCAATCCAATGTGTACAAGTAACAGTACGCTGCTTTTTTATTTGTTTGTTACGTTTGGTTTGTACCAGGATTTACATTTCTGTATAGATTGAACTTAGAAATAATGTGTATTTTTGTTAGAAATATTAGTTAAAGTTAAATGAACTCACACTTCATTCGAGTTGAGATTTTCAAGTTGGCAACAATCCAAAAAGGTATAGGTAAAATACTCTAATTTGAATGAGAACATCATCCCTTGGTAACAACTAAGCTGAATACAATGAAAAATATTTGAAAATACGTAAATTACCTATGTAAGCAACTGTGTTAGATTTGTCTACTTTAATTCGTAATCCCTGTATCGTTAAAACAATTATCCTTTCAATATTTACAATGTCCTTTGGGACAAAAGTCATTATAACTTTCAAAAATACCTTTCATAAATATTCATAAAATTAATTTTCTATATTTTAAACAATTTTAACATGGATACATATTAAAACGATAAACATAAAACTTATAATTAATCGTTCATAGGTTTATTTTTGTTAGAAACTTTTTGCAGGTTTAATACAATTTTAACATTAGTTATTGAGTATTCAGTGTTCACTGAAAAACGTGGGTAGTTATTAAGATTCAGTAAACTACGGTCTGCCTATTAACTTTTTTATTTTTACAGCCAGGAATAGTTTGCATGGGAAAATGAAAAATAAGTTTTTAATATCTTCCTATTGATTTTTTATTTTTTCTTATTATAATTTCTTATGATTATATAATGATTATATCATTTCGAACTTTGGAGAACGTTATTTAGGCAAGGTCCTGATTGACATATATGTATTGTTGCTAACTATTATTGTTCTATTTTAAACAAATTAATGTTTCTTCTTCTTTTTTTAAAAAAATATTAGCTAAATTTATTCAACAGCGAAATTTGCGCTTTGCAATACATTTAGATATTTATATCTACTAGCTTTCGCCAGCGGCAGCGGCAGCGGCAGCTAATACCCTATCTGTATACCAAATTTCCACAAAATCCGTTCAGTAGTTTCGGCGTGATTGACCGACAAACATCCAAACCATAACCGCAATATGAACGTATCAAGCACACTACTACATCGACTGCACAGGATTAACCGCGTACTATACGCGTATGTTACCGTCAATGTTGTACTCATTTGACATTTAAAAAATTTTTGAATACAAAAGCTAATTGCAGGTTATTTATACTTTATGTTCCAATATTGTCTCAATTATTAATACAACATACGTTAATCCTAGTTTCAGCCGAGTCGGTAATAACCCCCGGTCATAACAAAATTTAATTTACATAATCCGTTTTCGATAACGGTTTTGTACGGGTGATTTAATTTCCGTAACCATCTCTAAAACACAAACAAAAACTGATCAAAGTTATAACTAAACAGTTGTTTAATATGAAAGTAAAGCATACGAGGTTGGATGTTGTTGTGTCTAAATTTCAATAAAGGAACCAGACAAGTGCGAATCGGTCTCACATGCTAAGGCTTTCGTACCATTATCTGTGAAAGCTTCAATATTTAATTCTGTTTTTTAGTTTTTTTGTTATAGAGGTAAAAGATTTATATCATCTTTAGAAATTTTAACTGGTTTTTATCACGGTTCATAAGATACAGCTTGGTGATAGATGAACGCACAGCGGCATCTTAGTTAAAGGGTCCCGTTTTACCTTTTGGGTGCGGAACCCTGTGAAGATCATAGAATCAACGTAGTTTTTCTAATAAATCTTTTTAAGTACTTTTTCTATGAGTAAATATCAAAATGGCATTGTGTACGTATTTATCAAATCTATGCTAAGCACGATTTCTCCAATATGCTAAGTTTTCTTTTTTAATTACGGGGCAATCGTCAAACACGGGTACGCGGTCAGGGAATTCGAAAAGGTTTTAACCAACATTTAAATCTGTTGTCGGAGACCTTTGTCAGGAAAGGGTGGAATGTAACCTGTTACGATTATGAACAAATTATAATTTGACTTCTTTTTTATTAAAGTCATCGAATTATATACACAATCTCTAATATGGAATTTCGAAATTCCTTATTAAATTAATATAGTAAATCGTCAAAAAGACTAAGAATAACGCAATCGGCTTACGGCTTACCTTGGCTTATTTCAAAGTTTATCAAATTTTCTTCTGGTTTTTTGTTATTATTTTCAGCGATAAAGATGCAGTGAACAGTAATAAAAATAGTTTATAATATATAGAACTAAGCAAAAAAGTCAAAAAACGCTTGTAAATTCTATAAAGAGGACCCAAGTTAAAACCCTGTGGAATATCTGAGATTGCAGTAACAGGTGGTTGAAAAATAAAAATTCAAGGCCAATCCAAGAGCATTTCTAAAAAGTAAAAAGCGCCTTTATTAAAGAATATTACATGAATGCCTACATTATATGTCTTTGCCATAAGAATTTAATGATTCATATGATCAAATGCCCTAACAAAATCTGAACAAATAGTGTCGTCGATGCGATGACTGAGATGATTCAAGACAGCTGATTGTAAAAATATACACACAGTCATAACAATTTAAAGATAATTCTTACATGACTTTGTGGATTTTTTAGTAAACAGAGAAGTTTTTAGAACAACACCACCAGTAGGTTATTTTTTTTTTACGTTCAGCTTCAGAACTTTCAAATCTGTTTTATGGAGATTCGGTTTCTCAAAAGTATTATCAAGCATAGTAGGAATGGAATAGCAAGATAGTCAATTACAAACGCATATAATGGCTGTCAAAACCGTTTATGGGGGTTGTCTGTTCTAAGGAGTAGGGCAAATTAGTTATAGTTAAGTGTATATTTCGTCGATTACAGATTACACGATAATCATACTAATTCAATAAATTGAGATTAAAAAGATTCAGCAATGATGTTGCACACATGCCTTACACTATTTAAAAGCCATTTAGCAGATATAAACAACTCAAGTACCTATCCCATCACCAACGAAACACATTATTTAGTCTAGATGCCATGAGTCAAATGTGGAATATTTTGTAAAAAATATCAAATTTAATTTTCGGCCAATAATCCAAGTACTATACACTATTTTCACCTCAAACCTGCTCTTTCAAAAGCCAACGTTTTCTATGATGTCTACGGACCCCTAAGAAATCAATCATGAACTAATTTAACCCCCCTAAATATATTTGAATCTTGTTTTTATTTTTATTACAAAAGACTGTACAACATTTTTCGAAGTATAAGCTTTTAAGTATTAAATAAAACATATTAATGTGAGGTTAGTGTTTTTTTTTTGCATTTTATCATTAATATGAGAGTTAATGTTACCATTGGCCTGTAATGCAGCTGACGCATATTCGTCCGCGGAATATGGGTTCTCAAATGTTGTTCTCAACAATTGCAAAGCACTACTTTGCTTTTTAGCATTTCACAATGAATTCACAGAAAATGATTTGGGTAAATTTTTTAACATTTTTGTGTTCAATACATATAGACTTTTGAATGTAAAATTTTTCTATATAAAGACAGTTGAACACTATAGGTTAATCTTTAAATGTATTTTTAAATTCATCACCACATCACCAGCCCTTTTACGTCCCCACTGCAGGGGCTCAGGCCTTCCATATGGATGCTTAAGGAGGATGGGCCATGACCCTCCATGCTGGCCCAATGCGGATATGCGAAAAGTATTAACGACTGCAAATGCAGCCGGGACCAACGGCTTAACGTGCCTTCCGAAGCACGGAGTAGCTCGAGATTATAATTTTTTGGTCACCCATCCCGTGACCAACCCTTGCGATAGTTGCTTAACGACTACGATCATGGGCCGCGGCGCTTATCCACTACGCCACCGAGCTCTCTATTTTTAAATTATGCACTGAATATTTTTCGTTTTTTGTCCATAAAATAAAAAAAAACCGCATTTATTGGAACCTATACAAAATTAGATCAATGAAATACTGTGTTAAAGAAACATTATTATAATTAAAAACTCACGTTTCGCGATGATTCCTTGTGACATAATGAGAACTACCAAAATGGTAACAGCAAAGCAGAATTGAGCCATTTTTCAACTGTAACAAAAAAATATAAATATTATTTTAATTATTTTAACTTCTTTGTATCTACATACACAACACCTTTAGTTGAAACATGAATTAAAACTATCATGTTTAAAGGACCAATACAAAATTAAAAATTCAGAACATTAATTAGAGTTTTTACACTTTTTTTTTTTTTTTTGTCTTAACAAACAAATTGACCATATTTGTGGTCAAAGCTCTAAAGTAGCTTCACTATTAATCAACAGACAACAACATGGGTACTATCCGATTTCAATGGGTTTGGTGGGTGTGTTAGCTATGAAGGAATGACCGAGCCATATTTTTGTGAAAAAGATATCAAAACACTGGAACAAGTGTATCAACAATATACCATTCTAGAGAAGGTAGTTGAGCCCTTAACAACACCATGTTCAATAATCAACAATGGTCCTTTCAGCAAGAGTCGGCGTCAGGGTTAATTTCTATCCACCCAATTTTGTTAGAAACGAATATTTTGGACTTCATGGGAGCTCAAGACTAGCCGTCATCTAGTCCAGATTATGTATCAGTTTTAAAGAGTAAGGCTTGCTCTAAACGCCAAAATAATTTGGAGTCCCTAAAACAATCCATACGATTTTCAGTTAAGAATTTTCTGGAAAGAGGGCGTGCGTCCATTGATAACTGACTTCAACTTTTAAAACACTGTATTACAGCCAATGGAGGTCACTTCGAATAAGCTATACATATTTTTAATAGCTTTAAATTAATGTATAAAATGAACATACTGCAATAGTAGTAACTGTTACGCTCAATAAAAAATATAATAATTTTCTATGTAACAATATTTATGGTAAGACTATGCATATATATATATATATATATATATATATTTTTTAAGTGTTTTTCTTTTCATCATTGACGTTATTCATAGCCCTCGTCTTTGTTCTTTAAAAGAATTTCTACTTCTCCTATTGCATTGTGTATTATTTTTGTCTTACAGTTTAGTAATTCATTTATTAATTTTACTTTACAATACATTTTCTTACTTATATTTTATCATTATTATTCAGCATAAAATATTTATATGTTACGCTATTATTTACTCCATCACAGATATAAGAATATTTTCGCTCATGGAGAAAATATTCGTACATTTTTTGGGGTTCCGTAGTAAACAAGGAACCCTTATAGTTTCGCCATGTCGGCCTGTCTGTCTGCGGTTTATCTCAAAAACTATTAGTACCTATTAGGAAGTTGTAATTTATATACACGTTAATTACGCTGACAAAGTAGATCCCCTACACGTGAAGTAAGATGATGATTCAGTCTCCACAGTGTTAACTCACACTCACACTCACACACACACACACACACACACACACACACACACACACACACACACACACACACACACACACACACACACACACACACACACACACACAAACACACACACACACGCGCGCGCGCGCGTTCACACATATATGTATAGACTCAAATATAGATATCTCCTCATAAAATGGCGACATTTTGACTGCATTCTCTTTCGTTTTGGTTCTTCATTTATGTTATATTTTATCTGTGGGGAGATCCTGGTGACCTGACACACAGGTTTCTACTGAAACCAATTTCGGGCTCCAGTCTCTCACAAAATTAAGATACAAAATGTTTTTAAGAATCTTAAGACTCACATGTATGTACATAATTTTGTGTTGAGAGAATAAATGATTATTATTATTTATTTTTTTTTGGCCTTCCCCATGGTGTGGGGAACTATTGGGTAGGTCTTTCAAAAACATTGGAGGTATGGGAAGGTCGTTTTTAGATTAAGTAAACCGTTTATTACGCTTTAAAGACTTAATTTTCGTTAGAGTGTCTCCACTCCCCTTCTACCAACTAAACGGTAAAATTCAAACCTTACACTAGTAGTACCTAAATAATAAAATTAAAAGGAAAACTTGGCCGGTTTTTTTTAATATGTGCTTATTATTATCATGATGATATTATCTGACTAAAAATGCGTAGCATATAGTAGTGTGACGGGTTCGATGCTTAGCCAATGAATAAAAGGTTGACTAAGCTTGAGATACTTGATTTAATAAATGGTAAACAAAAAAAACATTGAATTAAACAAATAAATTAAAAAAAATTGCATAACAAATTGGAATTAAGTATGACATTCATAAACAGCATATTTTGATTACTTAAAATTTCAAATTACGAAAAGTGCATTATAAGAATAAATTATGTTGAAGATAAAGACAAAAAGTTTGCATGCGGAAACCTAGGACGAAATAGATGGTGGTGCGACACACCGTTACAATAGTTTGGTTCACAGAGTACCAAAACTATCAAACAAGTATATCATATTACAACTTGCATATTCGACCGATGATCCATCGCCTACTAACGCATACTTCCGCAAAATTATCCGATCTTATTTTTATTTTCAAATTATACCTACTTCATAGACTTATAACACTTATATCTATGACCTACACTAATGTACAAGCTTAATATACATAGCTAAACATTACGCAAGACTACACAAGGCCCTTAAATTTCTTCTATTGATATTAAAACCTAAAATTTACCGACACTTAAGTCGGTGTAACTCTGACGGAAGGTTCATCAATCGTTTCACGGAAGTACCACAGAGCTTCCGTCGAATGTTTAATTTTGAATGTCATTTCTAAGATTTCTCGATCCGGGACAGATCTTACATAACATTTACACCGAACATCAATATCATTGAAATACTACTAAATGTTCTGGATTAATCACAAAAATGTATAAATAGAAAATTAATACCTCACTCCAAAACTCGTATCCTGCACTAAGAAACAATAAAATGCTATTTTTGTATGTAAAAATTCATTAAATGAAACCTCACGCTTGAAATAAAAGAATCTGTTGCTTTTAATATCAAAGGGAATTTAATTAAGAAAGGGCATTGTTCACCTATTCACAAATTACGACAAATCGAAATTTTTACAACTTCAAATGGTTATATTAGTGGAAAAGTATTGTTTTCTTATAATACAATAATTATTGTTACCATGCTGCCCTTCGTTTTTGTTTTTTAGTGCATTTCATTGGTTTCATTTTCGAGTATATACCTAAAAATTAATAATTCTTCATTTTATTCTTTTGCCTAAAAATAAACAAGGACATCGTAATCGACGACCTATGTAGCAAAGTGCTGCTATCACTGTGGCAATATTAAAAACAATATTTTAGGACCGAACTGGACTTTGATCTAATTTGGGATCTATTTATGTAATACTAACTGTTCTCCCACTACTCCACACGGGTAAGCTATAGCCTATGTTAAGAAGATAAGATTCAGCTTCCCGTAAGTGTAAGAATTTAAAAAATCGGTTCAGTGGTTTCGGAGCCTATTCAATGAAAATAAACAATTAAAAAAATAAAATCTTTCCTATTTATAATGTTAGTTTAGATGACAATATTTATTAATTTAATAACAATAGATTTTATTTGCATTATAAACAAGACAATTCAAATAAAGTTGAACATAAAAAGTAAAATAAAAACCAAAGCAGTTAAAAAACAAACAAAAAAGGAAGAATAAAAAATTAACATCAATTGTGTGTAGCAGCAATGCAAAAGGGCCAAAGCTCAGCATACGATTTACCCACATCTTGGACAAAAGGCTGTTATTCTGTTATATATTCTTAATGAATGAATTTCAATTTATAAAAAAAGGGTATATGATGGTACAAAGTTCGCTGTATTACACAGGCAGTAAATACATGCATCTCCTTCGAGAAACTATCAGTTACCAAATACCCCTTAGGTATATACCCACGCTTACAATATATTAATGAATGAATGAATAATAATTTTAATTGCATATATCACACACACACATGCTAACAATTATAAAACTTGAATGAATACAAAGACTAAATATTGAAGAAAAAAAAATTAAAAGACATACACAACTCTGCATGTGTGTCGGAACGAAGCAAAAAGGTATATTATCTTACTTATTTCCTTTCTCTGTACATGGTAGGCCCTATCGAGCAGACACTTCGGGGTGATATTGAAGCGCTTTTATCTTAGTCTAGGCGTACTGTACATTACAAATCTTTAAAATTTTAAAATTCTCATTAATCACATATCTATACATTGGCACCGCCTCTGGATCCTCCAAACAGAAAAAGAGAAATTAACAATTGAAAATGTAAGGTCGATAATACACATATATATATATGTCGCATCATCTTTACGAAGATCGTTTGATTTAGTTTCTTTTATTTTTATTACTAGTTACTCGATTACTTAATTACTCGATTGTAGAGAGAGCGTGATCATCGATACTTTATAATTTTATTAAAATGGTGACACTGACTATGACAGTTCGTTAGCAAAAAGCAAGTTGCCGCCATTTTGGCACACATTCTATTTCCGATCGCCGAGGAGTAAAGACATCCGACGACATCACGCTCATCTCGTAATATTTTCGTATGAAAAGTGATATAATGAAACAAATCCACGTTGGTATACACGCCTGCAGTGTTATTTTAAAAATAGTCCCCCGATATGGTCGATCTATTTGGGCTTCGTAATAGCCTCTTCCCGCCGTTATATACGTTATATCTGGTTGTATCGAAGTTAGGAGGTAGTTTCTCTAGTATTCAATTTAATGTTTCAATGGCAGGCATTAATTGTTTGTATTTTTTCCTGCGTTGTTATTTGTGTGTCTATTGTTTATTTTTATTTTTGATTGTTTTTTGGCATATCTTTTGTGGTAGGATATGAGAAAACAGCTATATTATAACCAACTTGCAGAGGCTATTATTTCAAATTCGCGAAAAAACGGTTAGATTATATATAAAGGAGCTGTTAAAAGCAGAAGAACTTTGAATGTGTAACTTAACATTTATTATGACATTATCTATACCTACTAAAATTGTTTGTAAGCATTAAACAGGCTCCAAACTACTAGATCGATTTTTAAAATTATTTGCAACCCATGGGAAACTACATCTTACGCCGATGGCAAA